AGTTGCGACTATTTTTCTTTTGCTTGCTTAAGATTTTTTTAGTCTTTTATGAAAGTGTATCTCGTTGTCGAATAAAAACCATGTAACTCGAATTTCAAGCTTTGTCTAAAAATTAAAAAAAATTAGTGAAATTTCAACAAAATTGCATTAAATACTCGAACTTTATAAACAGAATTTCTACATAGAAAAAAATTTGGTGTGCAGTTTTATAGCCTACTAAAATTTTTTATAATAAAGTGCAAGTGATTTTGGGATTTTTTTTCAACTAAAGTAAGTTCGACAGTTTAAGGAGAAAAGGAGCAATACCTAAATTGCCACAAAGCAAAGGTAAGAGTACAACTCCACAACACGCTGTTCAGGCGTTTGCCGCTTTTCAGGCTTACAGACAATTCACCTATTACTAAAAGCCTAAAAAGCGCTCAACGCCCAAAGAGCTTATTGTGGAGTTGTACTCTAAGTTCTAGCTTCTTCAAAGTTGCACCGTATTGTACTAAAATTCAATTGTCTACAAAACTGCTTACACAAAATGCTTCGAAGTCTTATCTCTTTTGAATTTTCCCAATTTTGGTACATACTATATTCGGACACACATGTGTTTTTTTTTAGATGACGAGCTATACTTTCATACAAAACAATAAACATAAAATAATCTAAAGGAAACCGGCCCAACACTTTTTAAAATGTCGCGTCCCTATTTATATTTTCGCCACTGTATGTATGTACATCCATATATCCACCGTTACGAAGCTTTATTTTGCTGAGGTTCTTTCCCTAACAATCCGGACCGGATCTGGTAATTAGAAAATAAGCGAAAAGTTTGCTCCCAAAAATGGAACATAGTCCAGAAGTACGGGAACGCAAAAAACCACAAACCAGAAGTCCGTACGAGTCCGGACTAGTCAGAAATAGTTAGAATCAGTCAGATTTGACTGGAAATCGATCCCGTACTCGGTTCTCCGCCTATTGAGAGGACAAAAAAGAGAGTAAATACGGTTCTCTCTCTGTCAGAAGTTCCCAATTTTAGTCCGAGAATTTTTTGCTGGTAAATTCTGGTAAATGTGTCAAACGATCAGCTGTAGTGTGTTTGGCAACCAATTGTAAACAAAAAAAAGTACACTCTGCTAATTCACGTTGAAAAGTATTTAATTATTTGTTTAAGTGGATTCTAATGAATTTTAGTGTATTTTTGGTTATGTACATGAGTGAGCTGAGTTTGTTTACATACAAAATAAGCAAAAATTTACAACCAAAATTTGGAGGTTATGTTAAGTTAACAATTTTTTATTGTTAAGTTAACAATTTTTATTATTCTGAGCGAATTTTTATTTTTTGACAGTTTTACTAGTTTTAGTCCGAGGAATACGGGATTGCACCTAGAATTAGAGAAACAGCTGATTCACGTTGCTTTTTTGTCACTTAAATGCAAACACTTGGAAATTTACCGCCCTATTCCCACACCACTGACAAAATTCATCATATGACTATTGTCACAATTACTGCGCCTAAAACACGATATAAACATTGTTTCGCCGTTGTCACTTACTCAGTAGGTCTTAACAATTAAACTGACAATTGTCATACGACAGCTTAAAATAAATTTGCGGCATAGTATTAGGTGCAGTAGTAAAGGCAATAGTCAGCCGCTTTTTTGGTTTCCAGTGACAGTGCACTAGCACCACTTTTGTACTTTTTTGTAGCCGGCAATACAGATTATTATTTTGTTATATTTGATTTTTAATTTTTTTATCAAGTTTAATTTATTTACACAGATTATTTTACTATATCAGTTTATATCCTTTTAATTTAATTTTATTTGGCTAAGTAAAATTTTCTTTAATGTATTTATATTATATAATTTTATTTTATTTTATAGTGCTATAACTTCTACCGCTTAGACTTTGTTCCTTTTTCAATTTTTCCTAATAAACAATCGTGGTACAAAGCTAAATAAAAATATTAAAAATAAAATATTTTATTTCATTCTATTTTATTTTATTTTATAGTATTTTATTTTATTTTATTTTAATTTATATTATTTTATTTTATTTTATTTTACTTTATTTTATTTTATTTTATTTTATTTTATTTTATTTTATTTTATTTTATTTTATTTTATTTTATTTTATTTTTATTTATTTTATTTTTTATTCTATTATAACTAAGTTAACTTTGATTTATTTCCGTTTACTTTATTTTACTTTAATTTATTTTCGTTACATTAATTTATTTAAATTTGTTCAACTATCAATTTATTAAGTTTATTTGGAAAAATTTTAGAATGGTAACCCCCGATTACGGAATTAAGGAAAATAGGGTGGGTAGAGGGGGTTCTACAGGGGGTGTATGTAAAGTTTTAAAGCGCGCAACCTTATAGTTTTTAAGTAATTTGTTATTAAAGTTTGTAATTTTCACCAACTTGTATGGGACTATTTCACAATATATAATGCACTTTCCACTAAATTTACACGTTATTTACACTCAATATATGCGCAGTTAGAGTGTGCACGTTCAAACAAATAAATACTTTTAGTACATTACAGCTTATTTATAAAAAATTGATTGTTGTTTAACTTTATGAGAGTACATGCAGACTATGTGCAAATGGCAGCAGGACTGTGTTGCCATATCAAACAAACCAAGAGTGGAAAGCAAGACCAAGAAAATACGATTAAAAGGAAAATACGACAAGGTTCTTTTGTTCAGATAAAAATAAATAGTTAGTAGGGGGATTGGGGTAATATTCCCCCATAAAATACTGAAATACATTTTTAAGGCTTATATGTATATTTAATTCCTTAATAAGTTTGAGGAAAGTTTGAGGATGCTTACGAGCAATTGTTTTGCGCCAAAGATATTCTATAATTTTATCCGTAAAAGTATGGATTATTATAGTTGTAGAACACCTTTCTGCGTAGGTGGCCTTCGGCCGCACTTAGGGCCTACAACCCTCAGGCAGTAGAATTCTCCTTTCTGTGTTGCCAAAGAAAAGGGGCCGAACACCTTTTGCATAGAACACCTTTCTGCGTAGGCGGCCTTCGGCCGCACTTAGGGATTATAACCCTCAGGCAGTAGAATTCTCCTTTCTGTGTTGCCAAAGAAAAGGGGCCGAACACCTTTTGCATAGAACCCCTTTCTGCGTAGGCGGCCTTCGGCCGAACTTAGGGATTATAACCCTCACTACGTAGAATTCTCCTTTCTGTGTTGCCGGAAGAGGGGAATATGACCCCAATCCCCCTACTATTTATTTTTATCTGAACAAAAGAACCTTATCGTATTTTCCTTTTAATCGTATTTTATTTTGGTCTTGCTTTCCACTCTTGGTTTTTTAGATATGGCAACACAGTCCTGCTGCCATTTCCACATATTCTGCATGTACTCTCATAAAATTAAACAACAATGAATTTTTTATAAAAAAGCTGTAATATACTAAAGTTATTTATTTGTTTGAACGTGCACACTCTAACTGCGCATATATTGAGTGTAAATAACGTGTAAATTTAGTGGAAAGTGCATTATATATTGTGAAATAGTCCCATACAAGTTGGTGAAAATTACAAACTTTAATAACAAATTACTTAAAAACTATAAGGTTGCGCGCTTTGAAACTTCATACAGGGAACTATTAGACCCCCATCTACCTCCCATATTTTCCTTAATGCTGAACTCCGGGGTTTGCAATCTAAAGCCCACCCGTTTATTTAACTATACATTTTATTATTGTCACTGAACACCCTGTGGAGTAGTTTGGTGGGATCACTTAGAAGTCAGCTGATCTAACTTATCTGTTCCCACTGTTGGGCAACAGAAACAGCTGTATTTGACACTTTTATTCGTGTGTATTGCAGTAAAATTTCGCGTTTTTATAAAATTTATTTGGCAAAATTAAAACTTTAAATGAATAGCACGCGTTGCGTTTGTGCGCGTGTACTACATTCGACGCGGGGTGGATTCACTATATACAACATTCGTGTCTCACTTTTTTGCCGATATTTCTGTTTTCAGGAGCTTAAATAAAAACCAATTCACTGTTGTATACATGCCCTGCACTAAAATTTAGAAACAGTCTGGCCAAGCGCTAGGTCCGAACTACATATTTCAGAACTATCTCTGAACTGGTGCAAAACGGCTGCAGATCGGTACAGTTGAAACTTGCGGCGTAAGTGTAAAAATCCTCAATTCTCGTACAATATGAAACTAGCTCAGCGAGAAGACCTCGGACTCAAGCATCGTTGCATCGCACAGTGTTTCGACTACATGGGGCAGGTTGAAAAAATAGTAAACGTTAACCAATTCCGCTGAAACTTGACATGTGCTCTAATTTTACTTAGGAATACACAATTATGAGATATGGTAAAGTTGGGCTGATTGCTACGCCTTCTACACTTGTGGGCGGAAATATTACATTTCGTCCGATTTCGATGGAATTTAGTTTGTGCTCTCTTCTTCATCAAAGAAAACTAAAAGCAACATATGGCGAAGATTGACTAACTTAAACGGCCATAACTCGCCAAAATAAAATGGATCAAATCATTAAATGCTTTGGAGTTTTAGCATCGTTCGAAATTTATTTTCGCGAAAATCGCCAAAAGATGCTGGAAATGGAAACATTAAGAAAATCGAAAATTACATATATTTGCAAAATCGCGCGAAACGATCAAATTATATGTTCAAAACTGCATGAAATTCTCTAAAAGATGCATTTAGTTTCAAGACCTAACGAACCGGTACTCGCATATTTTTACGGAAAATCAAAATTTGTTTTTTGTTATTTTATGGCCTTATAACAATTATATTCAACAATTTTTATCGAGCTCGACGCCGTTTTTTAATGAAAACTTATTGTTGAAAAGCAACAATAATTTGAAAAAATGGTAGAAGTGAAAGCTATTTCGGAAATCACCACATTTCCTCATCAGACTTCTTTCAGCAGGATTCGATTCAACTGGCTGAGTCAGTGGGATCGTCGATTCGTTTCTTACACTGAAAAAAATTAATAATAACTCAAAAAAGCAAAATCGCTACAGTGAAAAAATGGTTTGAAAACCCGCATAAATTCAAATCCGCATAAAAAAGACCTAAGTATATGTAACAAGCACGGAATCTGTAAAAGAGTAGAAAAAACGGCAAAAAATCGAATATTAAAAACGTCTTATAAAAACACTTTCGAAAGTGGAACCGGTTAAAAACTAGCTGCAAAGTAATGTACTGGGAGACAATTGCCAGAGAATTGAGAGACGAAATAAACAACATTCAACTATATTATTAGGCAAAGAATTATTGAAGAAGTAAAACCGTTTCACCTAAGGCAGTCAATATGGCGGAATCAGAGCGAGCAGCTGCCAGCCTTGTATTATTGCATCATGGTTCTACGCTAGTTCTGATCATGATTCAATAACACGAGGTTGGATAAATATTGACATTTGTGTCAATCGACTGCGTTGTAAGGTTGCGTTTGAGAAGGAAAGAGATGCGGGTAACAATTGTATCCCCTTTTGTGAAAAGGTAGTTGGAAAAGTAGTCTGATAGTGCTAAAATGCGTTTTTTATATACAAATTGAATTAAATATATTAGGAATTTTCCACTGATCTACACAATAGACAATGAATTAATTTTTTATGGCCATATAAATATTAAAAATGTAACAAATGAATATTCACTTAAAATTCTCAACAAAGAAAAATCGTATCGACAAATATTCCTAAACATTAAAAATAAACCATGGTTTTATTGAAATTCCAGTGTATATTAAACAAAATTAATAGAATTCAAACAAATCCTTTGTTCAAAGGGAGTATATGAAGAAATATACAAACGGTAAAGATGCAATTGATATAATGCATATAAGTGAGTCTTAAAAATTATTATATTTATTGCATTTAAAGATTACATTTTTAGAAATTTTGCGATATGGATCGCGATCCAGCAATACTGCATGCTACACCGTCAATAAATATCGCGATACTTGGATCACGTCAATAAATACGAACCGTGTGACAGGACCCTATAAATGCGGGAGCGAGACAATTGCCAGGTTATCCAACCTTCTATTATTGAATCATGGAGTGAAATTAGAAATAAGAAGCAGTCCAGTTCTGTCTTTTGCATATTTCACAAACGAACTCAATTTGTGCTATTACTTGTTGTCCGCGAGGCCGCGGATTGAAATACATATATTTTTTTAAAGTTTCCTAAAGAACGAAACATAAGTGGCGCCCAACGTGGGACCTGCTTACATTTTAAAAGTGTTCGTATCGAAAAATTTTTAAGTAAAAGTCAGTCGAACCGAATTTTTTTTTAAATGAAACGAGTAGTGATCGTGTTAGAAAAACCGAAGGAACTTTTTCGTGAATAGAGAGCTGGGAGAGATCTATCAGTATGTACATCACACAGGCAATACACAAAATCTCCAATGACGTCATACTTCTGCCAAAATTTTCAAGAGAGAGTTAACGGTATCACAATCAGCGCCACCTTCTGTATTCGTTTCACCATGCAGTAGCAGCAGCCTGCAACAGCTCAACGTTTCAAAGGATAGGAGTCTGGATTTAAGGTTATCAACAGCTTAGGAGTAAGTTATATAAATATATACACGTATTAACTTAGGTACATATATGGGAAATACTCCAACTAAGTTTAAATATAATAAATTACATTACTGTGAATATTGTGGGGGGCCACATAAAGTTAAGAAATATGCCAAATTATTCGTCAAAAAGTAAAAAAAAATAACATAACTCAAGGCTTGTACAGCCGATAAACTAAAGAAAAAAAGACCTCCATAACTCAGCTCAATTCTGCGATTCCGAACTCCGGACCCTCCAGAATAGAAGAGCATCCTTTCCTAGAAGGGATAACGAATATAAAAATTAAATTGTGAAATTATTAGTATTGTTGTGAAAATAAAAATATCATACAAAAAAGAAATATGGCAAACGGCGACTTGACAGTTGACCTTAATACGCTACTTATCGCTAACAACAATTTAGGCCTAAGGCAGGAAATTGAACACTTACGTTCACAATTACATGTGAATAAGCGTAGGGCTACAGATTATGAAGCAGAAACAATAGAGCAAACTATAGTGTGTCAGGCATCCCTTGACGTGACTACCTGAGTTTTCGTGAAAAATTAATGCGTATGTTAGCTGGAAGGAAGCAGCTCGATAACACGATTAGCCTGTACGTGAGATGCAGTAGAAAATACTTCGCGGCCCTTACTATTTTGGGAAATTTTTCATTAATTTTTTTTTTCTTTTTTTACTATATATTTATTTTAGATTTTATTCTTTTAAAAAGAACTTTTTTTTTTGTTTAATTTAAATACTTTTTTAAACGAATGTTTATGAAATTAAAGTAATTAGGTTTCTTTCCTAATAAATTCTTGTTGACTATTGCTATTATTTCCTCGTTTCATAGAAATATTCATTCTTTAAAAAGCGTCTAGCAGATGAATGTATGTACATATGTACCAGGGATGTTGCGAATATTTGCATATACATTCGTTATGCGAATGTTTCGCATCAATTTTCGCATTCGCATCAAATGATACGAATGCACTAGACCACTAACCGGCTTTTAGCTTCAGGCGCTAAACGGTTAAGTAGTATATTAAGCAACATTAATGGGCCTTCAACAAGTACTGCTAAAAGTCTTATAAGTAACCTAGAAATAATTTTAGTTTCCTCCAGCGAAAGCGAAGGCTCGGATGTAGAATCTGGAGACATTAAAAAATTTGAAATTAAAGCTCAATTGAAGGCCTATCTTAAAGAAAAACGAGCTCATCTCGGTAAAAATCCTCTCGATCGGTAGAAAACTAAACTAAAATATGACAAATTGACAGATCTGGCCACCAAATATTTAAGCGCTCCACCCACCAGCGTTCCAAGTGAGCAATTGTTTAGTGCAGCCGGCCTTATAAGGGAGCCTCTAAGAAATCGCCTCATGGAAGAAAAGGCGGCAAAATTACTTTTTTTGAAATGCCCGTTTTGAACTTTGACTACCAGATTAAAATTACTCCCAACATTCCTATTCGCATTCGCTTATTTGCGTTCCGAAAATTCGCATTCGCGAATGTGAAAAATATGTATTTCGACCCGCAGAATCCGAATTTTAAGTCAGTTTGGCCAGTATACCACCTAGATTTCGAGTAAACTTCAAAAATCCGTAAAATATAGCGAAAATCGGCAATAAAAACGGTTTTATGAAGTTTTCTCGAAATCTATGAAGTATATTGGCCAAACTGACTGCAAATTCGGAATCTGCGATAGCCCTTAATTGCAGACGTTTTGGCCTGGAAAATGCTTGCAGTCTGCATAACTAGGCTAGACTCTCGCTTGAGTGCAGTCACTGTGGCTTGAGATTTCGTACGCGATTTCCGGTAAACCCAGGTCTTTGGTAGAATATAGGAGGTAATGGAGGTGGTGGAACTGAGGCCGTATTTTCTATCCTTCCAGAGCCGCAGAGCACATAGTTCAAAACCGGGCCTTTAAATTCATCTGAGGTTTTTAACAACGTCATCCTTAGTACGGGTTGGCCGCCAGACCAGCTCCCAGAAGGGAGTATGGGTCAGACTATAGCTGTGTACATCCTTGGTTTTAAACCCCATAAATTTCCTAATATTCTCTCGGAGGCATAGAGAGGCAACGAGGCTTTCCTTGAATGCTCCTCAACATTTTTCCCTTTGTTTGACAGATCTAGCTCCCCTCCCTCGCACCCTTAGTTTAGTAAAAAATTAGATAATTTTGTTTTATTTGTGAAAACTCTAAGGTCAGTTTTCTCAGGGTTTACGCCATTTTGGCCCAGGAATCTATCTATCCAAAATAATTTTAATCTCTCACGATTTCGTCGCACACGTCTATATAAAATTCACCTTTAGCTTACGATTGTAGTGAAGGGAAACGGCGACAAGGTATAGACAAAAAAAAAAGATAAAAAGGAAGAGAGAAATCGATCCAGGGCACTCTAAGTGCCATATTTTACGTGTCGATATTTTAAGAATTTCTTTAGATGCAACAACTGCAATGAAGAATTTCAAGAGTTATAACTTTTTTAATAAAGTTTATAGAAATTACCTATTATTTCTTTTGTTTTCTGTGGTAATTATTTACATTTGAAAATGATTTTTTGTTTTTCAATAAAAAAATTAATTTAGGTTGTGGAGGGCAAATACTCCAGCAGGTTGAGCCAGAGATTATTGAACAAGAGCAATGGCTATTGACCAGGAATTCCAGTTAGAACAGCAGCAACACCGGAAAGAGTCTGTCTCCGATTCGAAACATTTTTCAATGCAGAATGCAACTGACTCCTACCTGACAAAAGATACTCCAGTGAAGATGGAATCTGCCTCCGATTTAACAGATTTTTCAATGCAGAATGCAACTGACTCCTACCCGACAAAAGATACTCCAGTGAAAATTGAAGCTGCCTGCGATTTAACAGACTTTTCAACGCAGAATGCAACTGTCTCCTACCTGACAGAAGATATTACAGTGAAGAGTGAAGCTGCCGCAGATTTTTCAATGCAGAATAAAACTGACTCCTATCTGACAGAAGATCTTCCAGTGAAGAATGAAACTGTCTCCGATTTGACAGGCTTTTTAATGCAGAATACAACCGTCTCCTACCTGGCGGAAGACCTTCCAGTGAAGAATGAAGCTGCCTCCGATTTAAAAGACTTTTCAATGCGGAATAAAACTGACTCTTACCTGGCAGAAGATATTCCAGTGAAGAATGAAGCTGCCTCCGATTTAAAAGATTTTTCAATTCAGAATAAAACAGACTCCTACCTGTCAAAAAATACTCCAGTGAAGATTGAAGCTGCCTGCGATTTGACAGGCTTTTCAATGCAGAATGCAACTGTCTCCTACCTGGCGGAAGACCGTCCAGTGAAGAATGGGTCTGTCTCCGACTTGAAAGGCTTTTCAATGCAGAATGAAACTGACTCTTACCTGTCAGAAGATATTCCAGTGAAGAATGAAGCTGCCTCCGATTTAACAGATTTTTCAATGCAAAATAAAAGTGACTCCTACCTGTCTAAATATACTGCAGTGAAGATTGAACCTGCCTGCGATTTGACAGATTTTTCAACCCAGAATGCAACTGACTCCTACCTAACAGAAGATCTTCCAGTGAAAAGTGAAACTGTCTCTGGTTTGACAGATTTTTCAATCCAGAATGAAACTGACTCCTGCCTGACAGAAGATATTCCAGTGAAGAATGAAGCTGCCTCCGATTTTGCAGATTTTTTAATTCAGAATGAAACTGACTCCTACCTGTCAGAAGATCTTCCAGTGAAGATTGAAGCTGTCCCCGATTTGACAGATTATTCAATGCAGAATGAAACTGGTTCCTTCCTGACAGAAGATCTACTAGTGAATAATGAAACTGTCTCCGATTTGACAGAAGATCTTTCCATTGGTCAGCAATTCCAGTCAGAACAGCTTCAACAACATAATGAATCTTACTCCTATTTGAAAAAAGATCTTCAAGAGCCGAATACATCAACTCCAAGTAAAGCAAAAACTTCTACGGAGCGATCAAGACTATGGAGAGAAAAGCTGAAGAGGCTAACTGAGGCAGAGCGGAGCGAAAATTATAGGGAAAGAAAGCGTGCAGGCGTGTGTATTACCAAGCCAGTTGCCAAATCAAGCGTACAACGTAACCGGGAGTGGAGAGAGAGGAAGAAACTAATGCGACAGCAACTTGACGCCGATACAACGCAAGGGTAATGCTTAGTAATTAGAAAAGAATCGCGAGAAGTTTCAATTCCGTAGTATGGCATAGGCACACTTAGTATTTTACAGGTCTGCACTCCTCCATTTTGTGATTTTGTCAAGGCGCACAGCACAAACTGAAGGAGAAGCTCGGCCTATCACTTTTCAAAAGCACTAATTGTTTGTTTTTACATCTGTTATTTTCTTTGTATAGATAAGAACATACCCTGTAAATAATTACGTACTTTCAATGGCACAAAAATAATTTGTTTCTTTTTTTCTTTAAACAGAAATTATATCAAGCCACTTGCCAAATCAAGCTCACAACGTAACCGCGAATGGAGAGAGAGGAAGAAACTAATGCTACAGCAACTTGACGCCGATACAACGCAAGGGTAATGCTTATTAAAATGAGTATTTCTTTTGTTATAAATATGATTTTGAGACTAGTCAACAAGACTGACTCATTTCGGACTCTTTTGGTGTCATAAATTCTGATTTGAACAAAAGTAACAAAGTTCACAATAAAAGTTTAGTAATAATCAGGATTATAAAGAATAAGACTCAGAAAAGCATCATATTTCAGACTCTAATATGACTCCCAACTTGGACTCGTATTTACGTGGTCTTCTAAAAAGTGAAATATGCTCTTTTCTGACTCTTTTTTGGGCACAAAAATAACTTGGTTCTTTTTTTCTTCAAACAGAAATGATATCAAGCCAGTTGCCAAATCAAGCGTACAACGTAACCGCGAATGGAGAGAGAGGAAGAAACTAATGCGACAGCAACTGGACGCCGATACAACGCAAGGGTAATGCTTGTTAACGAGAAATGAATCGGGAGAAGTTTCAATTCTGTAGTATGGTATAGGCGCACTGAGTAGTTAACCGGTCGGCGATCCTCCATTTTATAATTTGGTCAAGGCGCACAGCACAAATTGAAGGAGAAGTTCGGCCTAGCGTGCTAATTGTTTGTTTTTATATGTTATTTTTTTTAGATAAGAAAATTCCCATTAAAAAGTAAATAATTACTTCCAATGGCACAAAAGTAAATTGTTTAATTTTTTCTCTGAACAGGCGGAAGCTTCAGCCTAAGTCTGTTAGCACTGTGTTAGTCCAACAACCGACACAGTTCCCATCGCCCGGCGAAACAACAAGCACATCGCCTAATGCATCCGTGGATGTCTGCAATCAAGCCTCACCAGCAGTGGATCTTACAGACGAAGATGTGGTGGCTAGTACTGCTACTGCAACTCCACAAGTTCGCCAGCGCAGTATCATCAACACCAACATTGGCATCAACTCACAGATAATGAGCGCAAATCCTTCTGTACCACCGATACCTGTCATTCCCATGAACCAGAAGACAGCTCCAATAGGTGGTATACGACAACAGAGTCCTATTACGGGTAAGTTTACGATTCTTGGAATTGCGCCTGAAATTAAATTATGTAAATAATAACAATTTCTTTAATAAATATTTACAACAGCAACAAAAACCAACCGCAGTGTACTCATGTCAAATATCTTCATACCGCCCTCCGCCACCAGCATTACGCGCGTACACATCAGTCCAGCGAATATGCCAACGCCGCCCGTATGCAGATACAGCCATCCTGCGCCGCTGCCTAATACACCGCCACAACCCCTCAATCCCGACTGGAAACTGACACCTTCCAGACCTACCATACGTATTAGTAATCTTGCGAATAGCATTGTCATTTCTTGGACTATGGAGGATTCCATGGAACGATTTGCTGAATGTGTGCTTTATCAAATTTATGCTTACCAAGAGACCTCCGGCCCGCCAGCGGTTGATTCGTGGTGGCATTTCGGCGATGTGAAAGCAATGTCACTACCGATGGCGGTCACGTTGCCACAGTTACAAGAAGGTGAACGGTATTACTTTGCTGTTCGTGCTATGGACGAGCATAAGCGATTCGGACCATTTAGTATGCCGAAAACGTGGACCTAAATGGATGGCTGAAAGGTTGGATGATATATATTACAAGAAACACTAGAACATTACAACCACAAGTAGTCATACATAAAATATTATTACATTCGATATTTTCATTTTTTTTTCATGTTTCACCACATTATGATGTATTTGGTGAGTTTGTAACACCATAAATGGATACTCTAGAAATTGTGAATTAATTGTAATTCGTATAAATTAGGTCTCAATTAAAATAATTACTATTAAAAAAGGAGTATTCGCATATTTGAGTATATTAACTAGAGTCCGACCGAACGTTCGGCTTCTGCTTTGGCCGAAAAATTTACCTTCAGTCGAATTCTAATATTAACTACGGCATATGTTTAAAATAGGTATTTTTAAAAGACATAAATGATTCAACCGAAGAATGAAAATTATTCACTAAACCACTCAAAAATTCTAATAAATATTTAATTAAGGTAAAAACTTAATTATTTTTAGTTGTTTGGTGCAATGGCACTGCAGTTCGTAAATGCAACCCGCAGAATTACGGTAAAGAATGAAAATCGTTTATTCATAAACTATACTTCATGAATATGACTTATTTTCGCAAATTAGTCCTACGGCATGGGGATGAAATAAATGACAAAAATGTTGAAGAATGTCATCTGAATAATCAGTTGAACGAGAGCTATATTTTTGTAGTGGTCCGGCAAATTATTAAAAAATTATAAACGAATACGCTCCTGAACCAAATTTTAGTCGGATATCTCTTTAGCTGAGGGACTAGTTGCCTTCAAATGGAAAAGCAGACGGATATGGACTCAGCTCGTTATATTGATACTTTTGGAATAATCTTCTATGATTCTGGCTCTTGATCTTATACTTACTTACAAAAATCACTATAATACAAGGATGCATTGTAACGGTAATTTTACGCTTCCTTAATATTTTTTCGATCCATGAAAAGGCATCTGTGAAGTGCAGAAGCAAAGCGTATTGAACGAAAAATTCAATAAAAAAATTTCAGAAAAACAGTTTTATGTACCATCTTTTCCCGCCCAACCGAAACGAAGGGCGCAGTTTACAAGCTTTTTTTTGTGCCAAGTCGTGGAAATCGGAGTTTGTTAAGGTCGAGATCTAAAACTATTCAGCTCAGAATCAAATTCATCAGCTCATTGGAAATGCTAAAGATGGTATTCCAATTATTCATAGAGGACATGGCGCAATAAACAGGTGAAGTTATAAAACAGCTTTCTCGCTTTATTTTGTGACATTCGGCTGCCTTATAGTCAAATTTTAAAGGCAATTTTTCATATAAGGCAGATTCAAAATCTTTCTTTTAGCTTTAATTACTTCACCTGGTATAATTCCGCCATGGATAGAGGAAAGGATAGTTTTCTTTGAAGTAAAAATTGAGTCCGGCATGTCAAACGTACTGGAGTGAGAGTTAAAATCTTGCTATAAACAACGAAATTATTCGTTTAATTCAAAATTAGTTTTATATGGATTTAAGAACAGAGGCCGAAAGTGTAGTGGCGATTGTATTTTTAAGAGAGTGTCTGGATACTCTAGAGGGAATATTAAAGTTTACTTCAGACTCATTAATTTTACGATAAATATCACACCTAGCATTTTTCGACGACTTGCAAGGTAAGGTAAATTAACGAGTTTTAAACGACTAGTGTAAGGTGGGAGATTGTACTCTGAAGCCCAGTTAAAATCACGCAATTCAAAAAGCAAGATTTGTTTTTGAATTGATGCAATCCTCTCTGAATGAACTTGGTAGCAATAGACAGTATTCTAATACTGGTCTAACTAAAGTGGTAAAAAGAGCTTTAGTAACATAAGGATCGAATAAAACTGACCCATTCTGTCGGCGTGAGCCACTAGAGTCATAATAACGGTGGTAGAACTCGCTTCTGTGGGATGCATATATGGCTCTGATTTGGAACTGTGGGATGTATATATGACCCTGCTTTGGAACTCAATTCGGCGGGTATTACTCTCTTCCTTAGCAGAGACACTATGCACTATTCGTTTTCCTGTACCTACTTGGAAACGAAAGTCGGTTGAGATATGATTTTATTATTCAAACATTTTATGAAATCTGCATTAAATGGCGTCCGTTTCTGGATATGAATACATATAGACTGTTAAGCTATTTAGCTACAAAAAAAAAAAAAAACAATTCGGTAAGTGAATAGTCGAAAGAAATGTGATGCGGATCCGTCCATGTTTTTCTGAATATTAAAATGCACTCCAATTTAAATTGTAGGTACATATTCAAAAAATACAAGTAATAAGTGACCGATAAGAGTATCACAACACTAAAAGACAAGTAGGTGGTAAGCATATATACTAGGTATGAGTGCTGAAGAGAGTGCCAAGGTGTCACAAGTATAAATAATAAAATTAAATAAACTAGCAGAGTGCAAGTGTGAAAGAGTGCACGTTATCAAATTGAAGATAGTACCCTATCTTTGCCTGCTGGATGAGATACGTACATAAGCAAAAGCTATCATTCAGTTGCCGATCGCGAGCGAAGCTGTTTTCGTTGAACGTGGGGAAGTGAACGCTACTTGAATTTTTACAAGTAGATATTACATTTACTACATACATACATATGTACGTATATAAGTAAAAAGTATTTTGGTTCATATTCCAGAATTAATTTAATTGTGATAATTATTTAAAAATGCATTTCGGCATCGTGGGCAGTGGTGTTGTGGGCTTGACAACAGCTTTGGAATTACAGCGGCACTATCCAAATGCGGATATTACAATTCTCGCTGATCGTTTCAATGAAGATACAACCAGCGCTGTAGCGGCGGGCATTTTTAGACCAGGCACCAGCTTTGCGGGACCAACCAGAGAGATTACACAGTTCAGTTTGTTGCACTGTCGCTTAATAAATAAAGGCCGGTCCACATAGAACTTTGGCGTTGGCGTTGATTTGACAGAACTCACGTTAAAAGTATGATTGCTATAATGAACTCTTGGCAGCGAATGCTTTGGCCACTAAATTAACATACTAACGACAGATAAATTAATATTTCATATCAATAATTACGTGAAAAACGATATTTCTTGCCCGCATTTGATTAAAAGGAAAAAATAATTCACATAATTTTATTTATTTGCAACAGCTGACGAGCGACGCACGGGAAAAGTTGAGAGTTGGCCATCTTTCTGCTTTGTGTTGGCGTTAGCTTTTACGAATTTCGGCAATGTGGCTATATTTGAATTTATTTATTTATTTAGTGCCAGCGCCAACGCAACGTCGAAGTTCTATGTGGTTGGGCCTTAAGTATCGCTCTGCTATTTGCTAAAGCAATTTACAGACAATGGGTCACCGATGCCTTTCACTACTGGGATGAGATTCGTCGCTCAAGCGACGCACCACTTGCTGGCGTTTGCGAACTCTCTGGTTACATTTACTCTTCCACCTCACCGAAGATTGTGCGGGTATGTAATTGGGGTATATACGGTGTCGTAAGTGTCGTATTGTCTTATGTCGTAAACTTTAAACGTCTTAAAATATATTATGAATTTTCGCAGTGTTAAAAAATAGTTGGTTGTGGTTTTAAGTTCGCTAAACATTTATTTTAGCTTTTAAAGTTTACGATATACAACAATAAGACGCTTACAACACCGTTGTGAATCCTCCAAATGTGTTTTGTGAGAAGTAGAGAGTTGATGACATTAACAGGGCAATTCTGGTTACTTGAAAATCTTTCGAAAGACAATTGAATGACAGTAGGCAAGATAATTTGAACGATGTTGTTTATTCTGCCACGAAAGTCTTACAATAAAAGCTCCCTTGCCAACTTTCATGTTGCAAAGCACTGCTCCACTGAGCAAAGCTCTTACGAAAGATGCGAAGTTCGAGTCCTCGGTCAGGTTCTTTAATTTTTTTAACTGGATTTTTTATTTTTATTTGAGTTTATTGTTTTAAAAGAATATTGTTTCTCTTTATTTCACTTAATATTTAGGAACATATTTAATTTTTTTAAATTAATTCTTTTTTAAATTTGTATTTACAGAGAAAAATGTTTTTTAATTTCTTTTAATTGTTAGAAACTCGTTTATGACTTTTTTCTTTTTTAATTAAATTTAATTTTTAAAAACTTATTTTATGTATTCTTCAATTTCATTTATTCTTTATTTTTTTTGTTTTAGAAAAAAATTAGTTTCATTTAATTTGAAGAACACATTTTTTTCTTTTTTAATCTTACTTTTTTTCTTATTAATTCAGTTTTTAAACATATTTTTTTAGTTAATTTCGAGAAGATTATTCTATATGTTTTTAGTGAGATTTTTTTCTACTTTTCCTTTAATTTCCCTTTAATTCGTAGAATTCATTATAGGAAAAAGATTTTTTAATTGTACTATATATTTAGGAACTTACTTAATATTCGTAATTTTTTTATTTAATGTTTTTTTTTTATTGAATTCCTTATCTTTTTTCCTATTATATAATTTTTTAATTATATTTTACTTTTAGAAAACTTATTGCAACTCGTTAGCAAATCTTTCAATTAGCCCTTCGGAATACATAAAAGAGCTTTCAAGATTGTTATCAGAATTAAAAATTGTCTTACGAAAGACTTTTTTTCTTTCTAAAGACTGTTTTGAGTTGAAAGACAGTTTCCAGAATTGCGCTATAAACTTGGAAGAATTTACGATGTCTTTTGGGTCTATCAGAATCGCTTAACCATTTGGCGTGCTGAACCTAATCTTTGTATTTAAAATTTTAATAACAACAAATGATAATCTTTATTTACATTTCTTATCAGCATTTGCCAATACTTTTGAGTGTGCTATGCATTTGTTTGATTTCTTCTTTTAACTTTGAATTCATTGCATCAATATTTTAGTTTATTTAGTAGGTACATGAATGTTTTTTATTACTTCAGAATCATTTTATCGAACAACTCCTGCCAGTTTATCGTCAAGCCACCGAGGAAGAATTGAAGCTGTGTCAAGGTGATTGGAAATACGGTTCATTCTTCACAACATGCCTGACCGAATGTCGACTCTTTCTGCCTTATGCTACTAAAAAGTAAGTGATAAAATCTTGCTTGCTCGCTTACCTCCAACTGTCAATTCCATTATTCGTTAATTTTTTCGCTTCGCAGATTCATTGCTGCCGGTGGTCAGGTCACGCGCCAACATGTCAGCTCGTTTTCCGATGTGGCAGAGCAAAACTTTGATGTACTCTTCAATTGCTCCGGCTTGGGTGCCAAAGAATTGTGTAATGATCAACAACTTGTGCCACTGCGTGGACAAGTGTTAAAAGTGCGTGCACCCTGGGTCAAACTGGCCTTCTATGGTGACTATGATACCTACATTTTGCCCGGTTTCGAAACCGTTACACTGGGCGGTTGTCGTCAATATGATAGTTATAATTTAAATGTATGCAAATATGATTCTATGGCTATTAAGGAGCGTTGCTACAGCATGTTGCCAAGCTTGAAGCGCGCCGAAGTTGTGCGGGAGTGTGTGGGACTACGACCACATCGTGCTGTGGTGAGTTTTCTTTTTGCTGTCAGCTATCACGACAATTTTAAGGAGAAGGTAGGTAGAGGGCTGACCTCCCATATAAAAAAAAATACGCTCATAAAAGGGTCACCGTTTTTTAAATGTTTTTTATTTAAAAAAATAAAATAAAAATCTGAAAATAGTCCTAATTTTATAATGGTTTCCTAATATCTTTTAACTGCATTTCATTTGATTAAGAAATTAACAAAGTATAGCCTCATTTGTACGTGCAGCAAAAGAAAACGGGTGAAAAAGCCCGAAGTTTTTAAATTTAAAAAAGTAATTTTTAAACAAAAGATACGAGTAAAACCGACTTGAATGCTCATATAACAGTTTAAGATTATCATTGATTTCTTCATGATCCAATGATTGGATCTATACCCAATTAGTATGGGACCACCTGTGAGGTAACATCTTTCCTTTAAAAAATGACTTGTACAAATCGCTTAACGTGGTCCAAAGTTATGCGGTAACATTCATAAAAATAAAAATAAAATATTCCGACGAATTGATAACCTTCTCCTTTTTTGAGGTCAGTTAAAAATATCAAAATTTCAAAAATTATGGCACTTTTATAGAGGAAATTTCGTTGAGGTCACCCCCAATATATATACCTTCTCCTCAAGTTTGTAGTGGTACTTATTGGACACCCTGTAAACTTTTTTGTTTTTGTAGGTGCGCGTCGAAAGCGAATTCCTTCGTTTAGCTAACGGTCGTATGCAAAAGATAATACACAACTACGGTCATGGCGGTTATGGTGTTACCACATCGCCTGGTACAGCTAAGTATGCTGTAAAAATTGTACGTGATCTCTTGGCTGGCAATAGCAAATTGTGAAAAAATATAATTAAATACATACTTATATAAGTATGTACATACGAGTATTTATAATTAATATACTGTATTTTATAACAAAAATTAGTAAAAATTGAAATCGCAAAATTAATGGTTTTGGTAATAGTATGTAACCGTAATAGTAGTGGCAATCGTTGTGGTAATGGTAATAGTAAAGGTAGTGGTAATGGTTATGCTAATAGTAATGGTAATGGTTATTGCAATGATAATGGGAATAATAATGGTATTGACGGCCGCTGTGGTGTAGTGGTAAGCAGTGCGCGCTTCCACTTCGCAACGCCTGGGTTCAAGCCCTGTCAAAGCAACATCGCAAAAAAAAATATAGAAAAAAGGTTTTTTCTTAACAACGAGTGTATTTCTGCCATGAAAAACAGCTTCTCATAAAAATACAATCGCCGTTCGGAGTCGGCGTAAAACTGCAGGACCCTCCGGTTTGTGTGACAACTTCAAGGCGCACGCCACAAATCGGAGGAGAAGCTCGGCCAAACGCTAACATATGTGTTAGCGCCAATCTATTATTATTATTATTAATAGTATTGACAATGGTAATGCTATTGTTAAAGGCAATTGTAATAAAAATTATGATAGTAATGGTAATGGTAGAGAAAATGGCAATAGTGGTAATGCCAATAGGTACGGTTATAGTAATCGCGATGGTAATATTGATAGTAATGAAAGTATTGATGGTAATGATATCGGTATTGCTGTTGATAATGACAACAACAGTAGTGGTAATGGATATGGTAATGGTATCATAATGGCAATAGTAACGATAACACCGTGCGGCAGTCAATTTTACACACGAAAAAATCAATATATTCACAAAACTGGAGGCCAAATATATTAAAACTGTGCTTTTAGTTTTTCTCTCTGACATCAGGCATTTTTTTTTTAAAGGACTTTGAAATTTCTAGAATATGATTGAATAAAAAAATGATTCAAAAGATTCGCTGCACTGTAGAATAACAACATGGGTATCAATTAATCTGTAGAATAGAAAAAAAATTTAATTTTTGGGTGCACCAGGAGTATTTAAAATGTCCTTTTAAAACTTTATCCTTGAATATCCTTGGAAATTTCCAATATTTATTTTTGAAAAAATATATGTCAAGAACATCCTCGAATTTCGTCCTTCTAACTTTATTAGTTTTAGATAAAAAAAATTTTACACTTCTCTTTATAAGATATTAATAGATAAGATATACATAAATGAAGATACTGGAATCATTATTATGGAACCATGTATGCGCTCTAAAAGAACAAACTGACTGTATGATGTACGGTTTAAATACCTTAATTGTTTTGTATACAAGGGCGTGGGGCTTTTCATCTAGGGGGGAAGGAGTTTATATAGAGGGAAACAATTTTTTTAATAAATTTTTTTTGTGTATATAAATAACAATTTTTGGGTTAAAGAAAGTATAAGTTTTCTGGTATCCTTTGCAACGACACCAATTTTTTAAAAATCAGTTTGTAATTTTTTTGTTTAAAATATTTATTTTTTTTATAAAAAAAGGTGTTCATTCCCATATTTTTATATACGAAGTATACAACTATGCATACCAGAAGAAAGGGGGTTTAATCGCCTTTACAACGATACCAAGTTTTTAAAAAGCGGTTAGTAATCCCTTCTGTAAATGTTTCGTTTTTTTCATAAAAAAGAGTATTTTTTCCTTTTAAGTGTTTTTTCTCAAATTTTGTATATACGAAGTATATAAATATGTATATCAGGAGAAAGAAAGTTTGATTGCGATTACAAAGATATCAATTTTAAAAAATCGGTTAGTAATTTTTTTGTTTAAAATATTTCTTTTATAAAAAAGGGTATTTTTCCTTTTAAATCTTTCCTTCTCAAGTTTTTACATACGAAGTACACAAATATGCATATCAGAAGAAAGGCGGTTTAATCGCATTTACAACGATACCCATTAAAATCAGTTCAAAATTGTTTGAAATACATGTAAGGTTTTAAATTTACGAAGACCCGACCTTTGACTCCTTATGGCTCCTGTAATATAAGTTTGCACAAAAAACGTTGTATACCATTTCAATAATAGCAAAAGGCGGACTACGTCTATATTTTTAGTTTTTTAGTTATTGACATATAGTAATAGAAATAATTTAGTCCATTTAGGGCGATTAGTATAGAGGCTGTTCACACCAGGCGATTTTGTTGCTTATAACTAAACGTCGGCCGTAAAATCGCCTCATGTAAACCCTGTATAAGCGATTTGCGCAAGTGCATAAACGACACTTATTTGCTCCTACGCACCGACAGATAGTGCATCATGCGTATTTCTCGATTATACTCCATTGGCCGCCTGATGTCGCCGTAGCAGATATTAGTTGCCAAGGCGAGAAAACTGTACTCACTATAATCGATAATAGCCGTCGGGAACACTTTCTACAGATTTCGTTTTGGTCCCTAACCGATTCCGGTTGTCAATTTGACTTGAGATCTAGCTGTCAAAATACAACAAACTGTCAGATGGGAAATTTTTCGTGATTGTCAACAACTTAAGAAATTTAATAAAATTAATATAAAAATAGAAGAAGTTAATACAATAATCCATTCGCAAAGCCACAAAGAAGCGTCAGGGCATAACATCTAAAAATTGTTTAGCCTAAACGTGAAGAAGATGTCATCAATGTCGCCATCAGAGGTAAGTGACTGATTTTTTCATATTGTATGGTTGTTGTGTATGTGATCCTCTTGATTGGATATGCACATCACATCAAAATCTATTGTTGACAAAACTGCCAGCTGTACAAAGGGTAGAATACGAATATACGTATTCCAAATATACTCTATATTCTGATGCCTTTGTGGTAGACAAATATGTGGCTAAAGATGTATAATTAATGTATAATTAACACCCCATGAATTGAGCTTGTTATTGGAAAATTCGAGTCGCCTCTTCATCACGCTAGTCGCAACTTACTCAAAGTTCATAAAGCTGTTGTTGTTGTTGTTGTAGCGGTTACCAAGCCCCGCTCGGGTCGGTACATTCGTCAACGTTGTCCGTTTCAGCTAAGGGGAGGTCCAGGAAGTGTGCGACGACTTCCACAGGGTCTGTCCATAAGAACAGGGGCGTCAGCTGGGTGGAGTTCTAAGGGCATGTGAAGAAGTCATGTGGCGACTCTCCACATGCCGGGCATTGTTTGGGCACATCCTCATTAATTCTTCTCAGGTATGAGTTAAGCCTGCTGCAATAGCCAGAGCGAAGATGGGCTATTGTGGTGTGTGGAGTTCATAAACCTCATTGTTTTTGCTGATAATTTTGCTTGTAAGTACTGCTAATTCTTGAAGATTCACCATGAAAAATCATTGCGTATACAGTTTTGAATTTTGTTTCAATTTCTTAATAAAAGTCGAGTTTATATAGATTTATTTCCTGCCAGAATTGCCACATCCGCTCTTAAACACTTTTTGGCGATTATATACAACTTTACAAAACCATCAATTGCGCTCCCATTGAGCTGTTTTCGCTGATTTAAAAACTAGGATGAGTCAATGATACCTACATAAAAGTTGTGAACCGTTTTTTATTTGCGAAGACATGAAAAATGATAATTTCTTTATCTAATCCATTTTTCTAAATCAATGTGTGCACAAAAGCTTAAATTGGTTTTGCTATGCATATCAAATTTTACTTCTATTTTACTTCCTATTTGCGAGTATGTAAATTTTTTTTTCGTTTCAAATTTCACGTATTCTTTGTTGCGACAAAGAAATCACACATAAATGAATGACACACATTCAGCTTATCTCTTGATTGTGTCAGTTGCTTCTTAATGCGCAATTTATTGCAAAGTTTCATATAAAATATATAACTTTATTTTGTTATGGTTCAGTGAATGAGTTTATGTTCCTCAAAGCGGCGGCATTATATGTACATACATATGTATTATTTATTCAAACTGTTTGTACATATAGAATCAGCTTTATATTAGGTATGTATACACAAATGCATAATAAAATAGTTCGTAACACCAATTATGCTATCAAAGAGCACCAGTTTCTTATTTTTCTTAATCACAATTTCTTTAGTTGTTGTAAAAGCTTCGATGATGATACTTGTCAGGGGAATAATTGCTAAACCTTATAGACGAGTTTCATGTCTTAAATTTTTTACGGCTCTCCAGAGTAAATAAAAAAGCACGGTCCGCAAATGTTACATTTTTACTGCTACCATAGGTTTCCGCATCTCAGAGGTATTTTGAAACGACGTTCCAGCATCCGTTGTCTGATTTGTCTTAGAGACAACCAGTTTCTGTGCTGTGGCATGTTTGGTATGCACCAATTTTCGTGCTCATCATCTTGCGTCAAAACTTTAAATTTTATAATATGTACATATTTAATTCAGTTTAAAATGTATAATTTAATTTGATGTAAAACTATTGATATAATGAATCCAAAATATTCGTAGTACGTGCGAAAACAGAATCTTTACGATTCCAAATAAATCAAAATTTAATGTCCGAAATAATGTATATTAATTATTCAAATTTCCGTACATCTGATCACTGCTTGATTTTTGGCTATCTGACCCTAGCGCCATTCCATACCATGTCTAGACTTGATAACTTTCTCACTCTATATAAATATGTATGTTCTAAATTATTTTTAAATTTACCCTGTCGTGTCCATAAAAAACGCGTTCGTAGTAATTCTCTCGTGTTATTGCCATTTTTTTTGTTTAAAAATAAAACATACAATTGTGTACATGTTGATGCTTGCTGACACATTTAAATTGCAATAAAAATAATTAAATGCTTTCCTTAATGGCGCTTAAACATATGTAGTACATACATATTTATGTACATGCTGTATATTTTTATTGTGGCCACACACTTTCTAAATGATCGAACCACGTTCTTACTATAAAATGTGCACGCAGCGCCTAGTTGCTATTTTAATCTTTTGTTTTTTTTTGGGGTTAAAAATTAGAAATCTTTACATCTCCCGAATGCATAGTAACACAAAAGTTCAAAAATGGAATGTTATCAATTTGTTGAAATTATAAATTGTATTTTTGTCGTATAAGCATGTGCTGATAATTTCCAACTTATTTGTTATTTCGCTTTAAATGAACATTTTTATATTATTTTAATCAATTATACAACTCTGCTAGTGGGCAAAATCGATTGATTACAAAAACATGCGCATATTACTTACA